GGGGGGGGTTGCCCTGTCACTGGCAACACTGTTCCACTTCTCCTCAGTGACAAGCAACAGCACATTGTGGGACAGCTGAGCTCTGGGGGAGGAGGGAGGGATCAGTCCTCCTCACCCCAGGTTAGCCTCAAGTTTTCCAGTGACCTGGAGAGCTGTCATCTGAGTGCAGTCGGGAAATCTCAGATATGTAAGAGGAGAATAACATAACAACAGCAAGGAACTGTTTATTAGAGGTGGCTAAACCAGGTCTTCCATCCAGTGATACATTACGATATAGGACGCAAAACAGGATACACAAGTTGTTTAAACAAATAAAATACATGCTTTTGTTTCTACTTTATTTGGATGTTAAACTCATAAAATTCATAATAATTCCCATGAGTTTATTTGTATTCTAACAGCTTTATGTGCTTTAGTGTCCAGCATGAGCGCTAACCTATTATTTTGACTGGTAGAGAATCGGAAGCAGAGTCACTCAATTTTGACTTTTGCTTGAAATTTTGTGAACACTTTAGAAACAACCTTTTTTGGCTTCTTTGTTACCTGCCAGGCTATGACCCCTCTTGCTACTGGAGAGATCTTTTTTTTTTTTGATCAAGCACTCCTGGGCAGTGTAACAATGATCTTCAATTTTTCTCAATTTACGCTATCTGTCTGACTTTCTATTGTTGGAGTAGAAAGTGTAGCAATAGTTCTGTAACCTTTTCCAGCCTGGTGGGCTTCAATAAGCCTTTTTTCTAAAGGACCTTAGAAATCTCATTTGTGCATGGTAAGATACAGTCCCTCAGACATGGCAATGGATTTTTTTATTTTTTTTTTAATAAAAAGGACTGAAGACAGATGACTTTTTTTTTTTTAAATTAACTTCTAATCCTCAATGTGTTCATAGACTTGCTGGTGTGTTTTTTTCACTCTATAAATAACAGTTATGTTCTGCTTGAATCACTGAGTTCTGTGTTTTACACTTTTAGGATTTGTGTAAAAAATCTGGTGACCTGCTCGGATGTCTAAATATTTATTTAGATCATTCAGAATGAGTCAGAAAGTTTAACATTTTAAAGGAAAAAGACACAGGAAATTATTAATTATTGTTTTCCACATGCAAAAAATAAAGTCTCATTCCTGGCCTTTCTGTACTCCTGGAAAGCAATATTCAGTCTGAAATCCAGACTCATGCAACATTATTATGTACTAGTTTCATGCCTTTGGGAGAGAGCATTGTCACCATAGTGACAGCAACACATGTCCAAGTCTGTCGTCTCAGAGACTGTCGCCATGAAAACTGCACATCCATTCCTAAACTCTTTGATATCAGAGCTTTTCTTCCAGATTACGATGAGGTTATACTTCCTATAGAGCATTAATGTTGTATAGGATCATTATATGGAGATGTGACAAAGCAGCCGACTCCTCCTCGACAATCATCAGTGCATAAAACACAATGAGAGCAAATTAAAATATTCACGGTCAGATCTGATTACTGCGCTGCTGTGTCCCACTATTTCTGTTGAGTAATGACCCTTACATAAGTGATACAGTTTGACGACCCCCCCAAAGGTGATGTGACACTACTATGGCCTGGCTAATCATCAGGAGAATACTCCCATTCATTTATACTCAGAATGAAGTGCCCCACCTGTGTTTGCACAGGGCTCTGGAGGCCTGGAGAAAGCCTTCTAAGTCAGGGTAGGGGGAACAGTAGTTCTGTAGCCCAGCCGTGCTGCTGGTCACTGGGGCTTTTATTGCAGAGTAATCCCCTACAACAAACAGAATGGCCGGCATGTGCATACGCAGCTGTCGCAGTCTTAGTGCAAGTGGTGTCATGTTAAATCACAGGAATGGACTGAGCCCCTGCACCATCCGCTGCCCTTCCCTTCGCTGGCATCCCACTCACTGAAAGGCTCCAGCACACAGAGACAAATACACATACATACTCATGCCTATGTGCATAACCCACTTCCCACTAACATACTTTGCAGCACATGGCAGCCCAAAAGTTATTCCCTGTAAATAACTTGTGCCCCATTGCTACAAACAACCAGATTATTTCAATGACATATATTCAGAGGACTTATGATAATCAAAGCAGGTATCACAGGCAGGAAAACAAAGTGACATTTACACCCTGACACTTTCCAAGTATAAAGCACCATTAGCATAGTTCCTCTGGGAAATTCTGAATCCCTCTGAAGCCAGGTATGTATATAGTATATACTGTTGGATGGCTATGTTTTAAACTATTTCCAGTTTTTCAGTCCAGCTCTGTTATCTTACTCTGCTACATTTCAATCATGCCCCTCGCTACCCATCAATATCCTTATTTTTAATCTACACTATCTTCAGGCCTTCTTCCATATTCCTGTCTTTGTTTTTCTCTGGCTCCAGTGACCTTCTCCCATGTCAGCAGAGGGACAAATTTAGCGGCCTAGTTTCTGGAGCGACCAAATAGTCGGACACAACAGAGGGAATGTGTGTATTTGTGTGTGTGTTTGTATATCTGCATGGAAATTAAAAAAGAAAGAAAGGCCCTAGTCCCACAGATACAGAGACATGTACTATCCTCGGGGTATGAGACAAAGGACACCAGAGGAATGTATCACAAAAATCTATATCTTAAAATGAGTTTTGCATTTATGACATCAACAAATAAACCGATTAATGGCAGTGGCTGCAATAAAACAATAAAAATAGGCATAAGAATGGAAGTAATAACTATTTTCCCTTCAGGAATAATTGCATACGCCACCGAGGATAAAGAAAGAATGTGTTAAGTTATTCTGGGATGTTGAGATGGGAGCACTGTCGCCATGGAAACATGCAGATCCTTCACCACTCCCTGGGTCTTGTCATTCTAGAGCTGCCAAGCTCCGGGTGCCATGTCACCAGGGGTGTTATGCCATTCTTCGTCTCTACTCTCGGTGACGCACCAGATGCCACATACAAAGCAGCAGGCCTAGACTGTTCTTGAATTAGCTACAGAGTAAAGGGAAGCATTTCACAAAACATCAACACCTACCTACCAGCTCGCATGTGAGGTCTTCAGTGGTAAACCACTGGAAAATAAATTCTTTAAATAAAGCACATGAGTGGAAATTGGAGAAAAAAAAATGTCCGTGAGTATTGTTGTCTTTCTATTTTGTTTTACCCCACTGCAGTTTTGACCAGAGGTTGGTAACCTTTGCTATCCAAGAAGCCATTTATGAGTAACTAAAGGGATGAATCAGTGTTGGATCTATATATAAGAGACAAACAAGCAAGGAAGAACATTTTAATTGTATCTTTAGACAGTTTTTGTTAGCTGAATTTACAAAAATGCCAAAGAAAATAGTTTAACAGGCATCAAATAGCATTTTTGCACCAATGAGGTGACATCTCAGTATGGTGTGCAGTGTGTCCTTAAAACATTTTAGGAAACTGGACAAGTGGAGGACCAAAGAAGAAGTCACATTCCTAAAAACTATCTACAGCAGTATCTCAATATTCGTAAGAAACAGAAAAAATTACAGCAAAGATCTGAGAAACATATTTGGCTCTTCAGTTGATCCATCTGTGGATGGCTGCCAAGCCAAGAAGACATTCTTAATGAAGGGAAACAGGGAGAAAAGACTGAGGAATACCAAATTATACAAGACCTGGACAGTCATGGATTGGCCTCCCCAGAGCCTGGACCTCAACATTATTGAGGGAGTGTGGGAGCTTTGAATGCTCTCCAAAAAGCCCGGAGAACTATTCCTGAAGACTGCTTTAAAAATGACAAGAGATTTTCCCTAAGAGAGTTCAGAGTTGTTGCAGAATAAAGGTGGTGATACCAAATACTGATTTTCAAGCTCATTGCAATTCTACAAATTGTTTTTGCTTTATGTATGTTTCAGTATATTGCTGCACCTATTTTCCATTTTCCTAATAACTTATATAGTCTTATATAAAGACTTTTCCCAAGTACTGCACATCCATGTAAACTGCTGCTACCGAGATTCAGAAATATTCTGAGGATAAGGCACCAGAAGATAGACGTAAGCCACCTTTTAGTTAAATTTTTTTTACAACAATTATGTGGATTAAAAAAAAAGTGGATTAAAAAAAAAAAAGAAACATAGCCATTCCAAGTGGAAATACTTTGATAATTATTACCAACAGTTTGTTCAATATAAGCATTAAAGGTTGCTTACATATATAGATAACAATAATGTAATAATGAAGAATCTGAAAGTTAACAAATAACTTATAATTTGAATAACAAGCTGTTGCGTTATGACTGCATATTTGGGACTGGAGAACAGTTTAACAGGAGACTTTCCATGAACAGGAAATACACCCCAATGAGTAATTGGTAAATAACTCGGGTGTAAAGTAGCTGCAGTGTTTATACAGAATTTGGATAGCAGTGGTGTTACAGAGGCATACACAGTCGAAGGCAGGGCGTATGCCCCAATTCTCAAGAACAGGACAAAAATAAGGCAAGCACGAGTAAGCAGGAGATGAACAGTGAGTAAGCAGAGGAGAGTCGCAGGTGCTGGAGCCCAGTCAAGGAGGAGAGGATACATGACAGCTGGCCTGTCACACACAATGACTTATTCAACTAAAACACAGATTTCACCAGTGGGTACCGTACACCAACTGTCTCTCTGGTGAAGTAGTGAACAAAGCAGACAATTCCCAACTCTTTCTCGCTTAACAAAACATGTTTATTCCATAACAAAAAACCCTATAACTGCACCATGTTTTAGAACATTATGGTCTTAATGTGACAAATTGGGATGTGTTAATCAACCAGTATCACTGGTATTAAGTGTTTCATTTACATGAGGTCTGTATTTAATGGGAGCCTTTTCCCCCTTGATGTACAATGCTAATACTTGTTACAATCTATAATTCATCTTTTATTGCATTTACATTACTAATATAGCTCTGACACCAGCTTTGCGCTGGATCTGATTAAGAGGCATGCTCTATATATATCCATTACATGTTATTACAGGGACTGTACAGTTTCTGTAGGCAACGGTTACAAGACTGAAACCTCTCTCCACCTCCTGGCGGAAAGACTAAGCACAAGTAAACATCGGCTCAAACACTTAATATACACACTGTGTTACGCAGAGCCAAAGTTAAATGCCTAAAAGTCACTGAATAATAAGGAACAATGTATTTATTCAAGACCGTTCACACACTCAAAAAGTACCATCTATGTGGTCCACAATCTTCAAATAAAGCTGAACAATCCAAATAAACTCTATAATCCACATTTCTGTATAAAGTCATTACATGGCAGTGTAACGCTTAAAATAACCCCTGTGCAGCCATTTTCACTGAGGGTACACCTGGTAACTCAGCCGGTTTCTTCTCTCTATTCTTAAATTACAAATGCAAATTAGATTTATTGTTTTTTAACAAGTGCACCATTTTCTGTTTGCTACGAGCTGACCACAAGTAAAACAATAAATAAATACAATACCTACATTTTAAACAGGTTCCAGAAATAATCTAAAGTACTCCGAATTATAATATTTAAACACGAACCAACAACATTATGACATAACTTACTGCAGGCATAGCTGTCAGAGGTTTGACAATTGTACATACTGAACATGTTAACAAATTACCAAGGTTCAACAATTACGGTTAATACTTCAGCTGTGCATTATGGTCTACATTTACATTTCTGGCTGCAAGAAACTAGACTTAAGTCACCATTGTATTTCACAATACATTCACATGTGCTGAGAGTACTTTGATTTTGGGAGGAAACTTTCAAGCCTGAAACATCTAAAAACAGATTTAGACTTTGTTTCTTTGTTCAGCTGCTTTAAAACTTACATTTTAGAGCTGTGTTATGTAAAGAGATGCAGGAGGGCTTAAGACAAAAAACAAAACCCACAAATAAAGGGACAGCTCAAAGAGACCTGTACTTGCATACCTGCATTTATTACTCTGTTCGGTTTCTGTCCAGATGGACAAAGTAAATTAATGAAAAACTTAAGGAAGCACATCCTAAAATTTCCAGAAATAAAAATCAGCACCCAAAAACTGCACTATGAATAAGAAATAATGAAGAAAAAAAAAGCCATAAACTTTTAGAGGGGAAAAAAACAAACAAACAAAAGACAAACAAACAAACCCTTCATAACATAAAATAACTCAAACTGTGTGTGCCTATGTGATAGTTTTAATAAATAAATAAATAAATACTTCTGGATTTGTATGTCCCTTATTTAAATGTGGCACCAAAACAAGCATTTCGTATAGTGAACTGTTAAGACTGAGGTTTCGTCTAACAATACTTCAGAGGCAGTGTGACTCAAATAAACCATGCAACAGAGCAAGATTCACCAAGTGCTATATTTTGTCTCTTTATAAATTTGACAGTAAGGTGCAGAGATGTTATGAGTCCACAAGCAAAGACTGGTACACTAGGAGCTATGCAGCTGTATGTTGTTGAAAAGTTTGTATTGTGATTTTTTTGGTCAGGTCCCCAGGACTTTACAGATGGGTTGTGTGCCCTTCACAGGATGAATATTTTAATAACCTTCTGGATTATCTTCCCACATCCTGGACAAGGAGCCTGGAACTTATGTAGCCTCCTTGCACATGGAAAACAGGTAAGCAGGTGAGCAGTGCGTCCGTGTATAATATTTCCATTACGTGGCCGCACTCGACAGAGCTTGCAAGGCTCTAGCAGCGCCTCAGGCCTAACGTCCTCAACCTCCATGCCCAGATTCTCTTGACTGTCTCCTTCAGAGAGCTGCTCATCTTTGTGGAAGACAGAGGGCCTCGGACCTTTGCCTTTTCCCATTACCATTGTTGGCAACGGTCGATCGGCGGTGGAATGTGAAGGGAGGATGACAGGATCAGAAACTGTCCTGCTGCAATCTGGGACATCAATGCCCGTGTCGCTGTCATCTTCCTCGTCGTGGGTAATGAGTGAGCTGCATGCTGGGATGTCAGGAACAGAAAGGGAATGCGCAAGCCGAGGGACATCTTTATACCAGTTCTTCCTTAGAGCCCAGCACCGAACACAGTACCTCTGGAGAGGTATGTTGTATTTTCGGCACTCTGTGCACTGCCATGCATCCTAAGATATAAACGCAGCATTCACAAGACTGATATCGTTTTAAACAATGGCTGTAAATGAATAAACGGAGGCTCAGAGATACTGACCTGTGTGGAGATCTCTGTATCCGTATCATCACTCAGACACTGAGAGTCTTCATCTGGCTCCTCCTGCATCTAATAAATACACATCAGATCACATCACCTCTCCACATTTCTTAGTGAAAAACATTTTATTGGCAAGAAAGAAATATATTACAAAATTTAAAAAAGAAAGAAAAAGACATACTTCTCTGTCTGCTTTGTCCTCCTTCATTCCCCCATCATCCTCCTCCAGTGGAGGCTCTCCTTCTCTGCTGCCTTCTTCCAGAGCAGCCTCTTTCATCTCCACACTCACCTGTTCACTCTCGCCCTCTGTGAGGAACCAGAGGTCGTCAGTGGTGTCCGACACAATGGCCGTATCCTCTTCCTGTGCAAGAGACAGCTGACACATCAGTCAGACCACCACTGTTATGATCTGATTTTTGCCATTTGTCAACAAGTAATGTCTATTAGTTTTCCTAAGCTTGAAACCTCTAAAATGAACCTTATTGCCCATTTTAACCATTTTTAACGATACTGGGTGGACTTTCTAGCAGCACGTGAGGTGTCTTACTTGGTTTGTGTGGATGTCAGTGGAGCCATTGCTCCTGCGGCTGTAGTTATTACGGAGATTACCCAGAAACCACCAGGGCAAGCCAGAGAGGTCCCACTCATCCAGAGTAACATCCAGCTTGGGTCGCTTGCAGGCTGAGCGTTGCAAACCTTCAAGAGAGTCTAAGGAGGTTTTGAACATTTAAACAGTGTCTTGTAACGAGGCTGTTAAGTGTGCAATGGACTATTTGATTACCATCATCTGGTTCCCGAGGTCGTCTCTGGGAGGGAGTCTGCAGGAGAGGCCCATCACTACCAGCCTCCAAACCTGCTTTGACCACACCTCCACACATCTGTAAAAGAAGAAAATGCAAATGCAAGAAATTAGAACACAGAGCCGTGACTGGGTACTTGGAGGACTCGCAGCTCCTTTTCAACATGGCCTCTGTTTACAGGTGGGGTGGGATGGCACAAGGGACAAAGGGCTGGGCAATTTGGGTAAGGGCCAGTAGGGAAGGAGTTCAAAATAATTTAGGATATAAATGCAAACTGAAATGTTGAGTGCTGGGTAAACAAAGCAGAAAGCAAAGGCAAGGAAAGCCAGTATACTAACAGACAGGTGAATAAACAAGAGCATGATCACACAATCCACCGCAATTCTAAATTCGTTGGATTTAATACATTTATTCCAAGGTATGTACTGTTGTCTCATTTTTCTTCTTCTTAAATGAACAATTTGGCACATTTGTCAAAGCAAAGAAACAGACGCACACAGAATTTAAGTCTAAAGTAACATCTACCAGACAGTAGGGGTGCAACGATTCTCGTATCGATATTGAACCATTCGATACAGTGCTTTCGGTTCGGTACGCATATGTATCGAACAATACAAATGTTTTAATTTATTTTATCAACTTTCCTTCTGACGATGCCGTTTGTGTTGAGCGCTCAGTGAATCTGCGCTTGACAGTGCAGCCTAGGCGGAGGAGTCGAACGCAGATTCACTGACCGCAGGGCAAGCAAGTGAGACAGAAGCTAAGCTCTCCTTGAAACATGGCAAATTGAACCTCCCCCACCCTCATTCAGATCTGGCCTTTGGAACTATTTTGGTTTTCATGTGACGTATGACCCTGAAGGTATGGACAAAAGTAAAACAGTATGTCGGATGTGCCACGCAATGCTCAATTACATTGGTGGGAACTAGTGCGTTAGCGCAGTTTGCTCGTTAACGTGTTGGCCATCCAGCCCCACGCATGGGGCGATACGCGGTAGCTCGTTAACGGAGATTTGCCGTGTTGTGGCGTTAATGTCATTTCAACGAGATTAGTGCTGTCCGCACTAGTGGGAACAATAAATATGACTGCACATTTACGCCGACATCATCCTAGTGCAAAGACAAGTGGAAGCAGACAAAAACAACAAGCACGCATGCTACAAACTTTACCAGAGTCATTTAGACACCCGTTAGCACACGATTCTCCTTATGGGGACCTGATATGTTTAATATGCTGCTGAGAATATAGCCCAGAAGAAGCGTATAGTATAGCTTTTATTTTGGAAAGAGACATTTCTCTGTAATAAACTCTTTTCCAAAGATGAGCCATTTCTCGATCAGATAGATTTATTTTTTATTACTTTGTTTAAAAACTGTACTTTTGAGTTAAAATATATATTTATAATTTCAATTTAAAAAAAATGACAAATTAAAAAGGCATGAACATTTTTTGTATCGAAAAAATATCGAACCGAACCGTGAATTTTGTGTATCGTTGCATCCCTACCAGACAGATCTATTATTTTAATCACTAAAATGTAACTAGGAAATATGCAAATTCAACACTTAAATTATCATCTGAAATTTGATTCAACAGCATTCTGAGATGGTTGTGGCACATGCAGCAACCTTTAATTTCATAAAAAGGACAAATATCTTAATATAGCTCAATGTTGCGGCAAACCAAATTATATACAAGCCACGAAGTAAGATCAAAGAGGATTTGGGGAGGGATTGGAAAGAAGGGTGCAGGAACGTGGGATTAGGTGAAAAGGTTTAGGGCAGTCAGACCTGTGGGTGATCAGGAGCTGTGATCCTCCAGTTCGGAGCAGAGAAGAGAACTCTGATACAGACAGAGACAGTGACTCTGCCCCCCCATCCAATGGGTGGAACTGGTGGGTCATAAAACAGTGATGAAAAGCCACCAGACCAAACCAAGAATGGGGTTGTACAGAGACGGTGCCACTCTGTACAACTGCACACCAACGAAGACAGCAGCCCTTACACCACCTTCCCCAGAACACACAACCCAGTAGAAACTAAACTTATACTTTAGGCAAAGCACTTTAAAACAGAGCCCAGCCAAAATAAGATTTTTAAGACTGATACTTGGGATTTAACCTCTAAATAAGTTATTGTCAGGAAAAAAGACAACTTGTTATGTGTAGTTATTTGTGAAAAAGCAAACTGTTGAAAAATGATCTTGTTTTATTATGACAATAAGTCATGAAGTACCAGTTCATGCTCTGCATAACTGCTCTGACCATCTAGGTATGTTTGCTGCCAGCAGGGAAGTTGCAGAGTGCCCTCTGGTGGACAAACTATGGAACATCAACACTCATGACATGGTTGAAGCGCACTTCTCCGTCTCCTCTTTACTTTTTAATTCATCTGCAGTTATAAATGCCAATATCAATATACGTATAAGTAGCTAAAATTGTCTGATATATCAGTCGGGCTCCATTTAAAGGCATTATCGGAGTGGCTGTGCACTTATTTTGTGACATTGTTACAAAAAGTTGTGTGTAGTGAAGCGAAAGCAGGTAAGGGTCTCTGTTTCTTCTGAGCACCATGCTTCAGCTTTACCTGACCACGATCCTCCACTCCGCCATCTACACATTCACGGCCCACAGAAAGATTCTCTGCAGCGTCTGCATTTCAAATGAGACACAGTAACAGAAAAAGGACATCCCCCCCCCTTTAATTATAGCATTGCACACTCTCACTAAGGCCCTTCAGATATGAAGTTTAAGCAGGGGAAAGGGGTCCATCTGGGACTGTGCAGGATCCCCACATCCTCCAAGCGATGGACAGCCTTTCACAATCGCTCATAATATAGTCAATAAGATGGTCTTTGAATATACATGTAATGTTGGTATACCCACAGATCTTCTCATGTAATTTAAAAAAGCCACAATATGATGCAAATAACAGTGAATTCAATAAGGAGCACAGGAAGAGACATACTTTGACTTCAGACACCCACAAATGAATCCACAGATCGTTTTGTTTTTTTGTTGATTCCACCTAACAAAAATATAATTTCACCAGAAAAAAAAAAAAATGTGCAAAGGACTTAAATCGATAAATGAAAGAATCACTTACCAGCACAGTCAATAACAACCAAATACTTCTTCAGCATTTCATACACTGGGCTGTAAAATGGGAATACAAGCATTTAAAATTAAGATTTTTCTTCTTTTTTAAAAAATGTATAAAGTCCAGATACACAAAGCAGAACCAACAATGAGCACAGGTTTTGGTTAAGGTAATTACCTCGGGTTTTTAACAGAGAAGCTCTCCACTTCCAGCAGCTCTCCCAAAGGATCATCCTGGCAGTGGACTATGTGCTGCCTCTGTTTGTCATACAGTTGCTTCCCCATGATGTATTGGCCCAAGTAGTGCATCACCTACACAAAGCAGAAGATTTCATATGTACAGGCTACATTTGTACCTTTGGAATGACCACGTGACCGATAGCTCTTTTTCAAAGTCACACTAGACAGCTCACCTCTTTGAGCGTGAAGATATCCTCCTGGGCTCCAGCCACACGCAGTATTTGCAGGAGAGGAGCTTTTGGTTGCACCTAAATGGACAACAGCACCGCCGCTTAGCATTACATGTTATATATGAGGTAACTGAATGCTTGTAGTTGCGTCTTAACTGCACCTGATTCCCTTCTCCCGGTAGCGTCCTGCATGACGAGCTTGATGCCGGAGTCTGGGCTGGTAGGGAGCTCATAGTAAACGAACGAAAGCTGCAAAGCAAAAATTACAACACGCATTATAAACGACTCACCCATTCAGCAGCATTCCACAGCTTGCTATAGTCACCGACTTTGCACATCCCACGCAACACCAGCGCCTACGGCGCCAAACGCAGCTTAGCAATGTCAAGTTATTGACAGACTGAAAAATTCTGACAACGTTTATAGTCAGTGCCAACTAGGCCGAGTTAACTTCCCAATCTGAAACCGTCATGGCCTGTCACTTCTCACACTATTACTTTCCCTTTGGCGCCCTCACAAAACAAAACTAAACCAGGCGAGCCAACGCTGAACATATGGCACAAAAATGTAAAAGTATAGGTATTGCTGTGCACATACACACACACACACACACACACGTGAGCTGCAGCCTCTCTAGACATCTCTAGCAGGTGGCAAGGCTGCTATCGCTACAGGCAAACGTGTTAGCTAACATAGCAGCAGCGCTAACGATGGCTAACTTTGGAAGCTAGCTAGTTACTCAACAATTCGCTCCTAATATTAACTCACCGTGAGGAGCTGACATTACTTCACAGCCAGTACATTGCTTCGGGCGCAGTATTGGCTTAACAGGTGGTCCGCATCGTAAAGATGTATGGAAAACTGAAATGCTGGCTTTTTAACACTAGCTAACGCTAGCAACCAGGAGACAGTTAGCTGAACTACAGATTCAAAATGATGACTGTGGCTACTCAACTTCCGCATGAGAAGCCAGAATATGGCTCCCCCTACTTTTTAAAAATATTACTTACAGAGGCATTTTCCCCTTTTTAAAACAGTCTTTTCAGATTAAAAGCATGTTATAAAATACAATGATTTAAAAAAAAAAAAACTTCAGCAAACACAGATGAATTGGACACAAGAGTGTTTTCTGCTTCCTAACTGCACAGGCTCATAGCTCTGAAGTTAAAAGGACTTTGTGTTATGCTGTGATGACTGAGCAACCCCTTAATTCTTTTTGAGCGCTGTCCTTTCACCGGTAGCAGGCAGCTGGCACTCAACAAAAAGCACAGCTAAGTAAGTGTAGCTTTCATTTACCTACACATTATAAAATCCAGCATTTCTTCTTAATAAACTCCAGTGGAGATATTACCTTTTCTCCTATAGTTTTTATTTTAAATATCTGTCTGCGTGAGTAATGCTACATGTCATATCATGAAATTTGAAACTCAGTTTAGACCGCTTTGCATTAAAAACACCACTTTAACTGGTTTGTTTCTATATGGCGTTACCTATTCATAAAATATTAACTTTATGAATGAACCACTTATAAAACAGCACCTTATTTTAAGTGCTTTCAGTAACTTACAAGAACAGTTGATAGAGGTCGTTGATATGTCCCCTTCAATATTACAATATATTTTGTTGTATACTGAGCAGTAAAGTAAACTGATAACAGTGAAAACTAATCTCCTCAAAAAGGAAAAAAACTGACTTTATGTTCTTTTTAGGGTGTATTTTGACACAAAAATACTATTAAAATAATTGCTGCTAAAGTACTGTAATTTTTTCTATGTACTTTGTGTTGTGTTGAAGAAAACTCCAGCACAAGAGCACAGATGTAAAAGAGAGTATTATTTCAGTCTATAAATGCAAACATTGTTATAAAAACATCTGCTCGACAGAATATTGAATCCAGAGTTACTCATCCCAGCAAACAGACAGCGGAGAAAACGAGATGGAAAGAATGTCACCCATCTTGGCCCCTGATATTTTACAAAACACACAAGGACTAGAACACACGCAACATCACACATCTGTAGACGTAGTGCAATAATAAATCATTAAATACAGGAGACAGCTGGGCTTGTTCTTACTGACAGTTAAGTAAATCAAGAAGGATCAAGCATTAAAAACCTGCTTTCATATCTGACAAAGTCCACCAAACGATCCTTGAGTTATGCCTCAGTATTAGGCCAGCTTATTGCAATAGCTTATTTGCTGGGGTGGTATTGCATCTGCTGGAGAATACAAGCATTAGCCATAAGCCCTACAATGTGTGTCAAATGTTATACTTCTTACATCGCAGATAATAAAAATGGCAGCCAGCCAACATACCAGCTAAAACACTTGATATTACACAGACATGCGTACTGGGACACAGGTGTAGTTAATTTTATAAAGCAAGCGCTCCTTACGGTCACCAGGCACCATTAATCTTAATACACTGTTATTGTGAACAAAAAGTGAGGTTATGTTTTGTGTTGCGCTGATATCAGATGATTATAGAAATGTTTGCACTTCTTTTTAAAATCACTGTCGTTATTTATTTGCTGATTATGCCTGGCTGAAATGTCAGTGAAATACAAACAAACAAACAGTAATGTACTGGCGCATCCTGTTAAACAAAAATATCATAGAAGTTCAAGTAAAGGGTTTGGATGAGCATAAGTTTTTATAATGCTGGCCTAACGTTTGAAAAATATCCATTAAAAGTGCTTTGGCAATAATTCAAGTCTTTCATTTTCACCACACTCGTAGGAGAGTGAATAATAATGACTGTGTTGGGCTGGGTTTCACTAGGCACTAAAAATGAAGGACTAAAATCGTTTACTCTTGTTTACTACAGTTTATATACGTAATAGATTGTTTAAATTGTGTAAGAGGTGCTGTATTGTAATCTAGTGTCTGTGGAGGCCATTTGAGTACAGTGGACTCTTTCTCGTGTTCAAGAAACCAGTTTGGGAAGATTTGAGCTTTGTAACATGATGTTATTGAGCTGGAAGCAGCCATGGGAAGAATGCACTGTGGTGTGGTCTACAAGTGTGCCAAGAAAAATATCCACCACACCATTACACCACCACCATCCCAAACTGATGATAAAAGGCAGGATGGATCCATGGTTTCCCGTTGTTTCTGACCCTATCTGATTGTCACAACAGAAACTGAGACTCATCAGTCCAGACAACAGCAGATTGTTGATGCCTGGTCTGCAACAATCTGCTGTTGTCTAATACCTGTGATCCTATGCAGATATACCCTCCACTTCCTGTTCTTAGCTGACAGCAGTCTGGTCTTCCGCTGCTGTAGCCCATCTGCTGTGTGGTGGGTGGTACATTCAGAGATGCTCTTCCGCATACCTTGGTTGTAACGAATGGTTATTTGAGTTACTGTTGGAATCCTGTCAGCTCAAAGCTCCTCTGACATCAACAAGAAATCTCCACCCAGAAAACTTACTAACTGCATATTTTCTCTTTTTCAGACCATTCTCTGTGAAGGAATGGTTGTGCAGGAAAATCCCAGTAGCACAGCAGCTTCTGATTTTTAATATCCATTATTTGCACACTGAACTAGGAGAACATGTTTTAAAAGCAAGAACTACATTAACTTTGACACATTATCTGGTACCTAACAAAAGATGAAAGGTTCTCCTTAGAAAAAGCCAATTCCAATCACCAATTTGAGTCTTACAATTTCTAGTGCATTAAGCGATTCTGGCCAGTTTTTACCTTCAAAGATCCAGACAGTATGGTTGAAAGAAAAAGACTATTAAAAATAGGTACCACTGTTCACAGGAGTTAGTATCAAATACAAAACCCCAATTTCCCAAAACCTGTGACAAAATGAGGAACAAAAAATTATGTTATTGCTTCATTTTAGCGATTAGCGAAACATATAAAGTGGCCCACCATGAACACAAGGACTGGATCCTAAAGTTTTAAATGTACAGAGTACAAAAACTACTTAACTGACAGCAGATGAAAACTCTGAGCTAAAATACTGATTATTTTCTGTGTCCTGTTTCTCCCATGTTTCCCAGCTCTTAATAAAACATTCTGTGCACCCACATGCCCAGCTGTAGCAGCTGCATGGTGCTTGTGCAGTGCAACGCGGTCTCTTCTCAGGTCATCATGAAAGGAAACATACAGAGCACAATGGAGCACATTTTCACGCTCAAAGGTCTTTACAGAATTTTCTGTGACAGAGAGAACAAAAGCTCTCCGGGGATCCCAGAGCCTTTCTTCTGTCCCCTCCCAAAATCACCAGTGCGCCTATTTGCTGGGAGTCTCAGCCGGTACAAGGAAGCAATATAGGAAGTCGCCCCGCTGCTGCTGAGTCCTCCGGCCTCCAGGGGATAGCGAGAAGTGAGAAGCAGATGTTAATCAGCATGTGGGAGCAACAGGAATGCCCAGGCATCATGAAAGACTGCTTTAGATTTAGTCTGAAGAGCCTTTGAGTGGGAAGAAATCTTATTCTAAAAGGTCCTATGGGGAGACACAAACAGTATAACAGTGTTTATAGATAATCACAGCGTTTTAGGTAAAACTAATAAATATAAGGGGCCCTTTACACAACATCTACCTGATCCGAGTCCTCATTGTACTGTGCTTTTCCTGTCTCCATGTAGTGGGGGTCCACATCATCCACTCCTTCTATTTTGTTAGCTTCAGCATGTTCCCTCATAACAGAGTAACGGTGCACGAGGAACCTGATGAGGACAAAAGTCCATATTAGGAAGAAACCGAAGAGATGTGAGTGCATCATTTATTACTGCGGCTGCAAAGGGTGAAAAAAGAAAAGAAAGTAACCCACCGTCCTCCACAGACATATTTCTTAACCAGCCAAACACCTGCGACAGCGCTTGTCAGGAGGATCGCTATGACGACCATGACTATGAGAGCAGTATTCGTTGAACTGTTTTCAATCTGTTCAAGAGACGGGAAAAGTTTAAATATGCAACGCAGTGCACTAGGTTCCTCGGCCTACAGTTTATACGTTATTTGGGCTTCCGAAGTGTCTTTTAAAAAGTAAACAAAAACAAACTTTTTAGTAAGGAAAAGGTAAAGGATCAAAACAAAAAAGGAAAATACACACATCCGTTTTATAGATTTAAAACATTCACAAAGCATGAAACTCAATTAGATCTGTAGAACAATGATGAGCAATAATGCTCCTTAAATTCATTCAAAAAGCAAACACAAATGATTTTGCCCACTGCACCGCCTCATTTTCTGTTACACTGGCTTGACGACATCTTGCTTTGGAAATGACACCAACATTGGAGTCTGAAATCACTGAGTAAGTCATTTTACAATGCCATCATGCTGCACTGCTTGCAAAAAATGATTCTGTGACACCACAAGACTTAACTTTTTTCCCCTGTGCTGTTTTTCCCCTTCTTTCCTTTTCAGTTAGTTAACAAGCCTGCGGTTTAATGCCATTCATTCGATAAGAGTCACCAAAAGAAAGCATGAAAAAGTGACTCTTGTAGGTCAAACTGGCAGAGGAATCACTTTAGAACGCTTACATGTACTAATAAAAGATTAGACAGACTTTTGGGGGAAGTGGTAAAGTTTATGGCTGTTACGTCTCATCAAAAAATGTTCTGCTCTTCATCAGTCTGTATCTCCATTTACCTCTAAACTCTAAATATGTGTGTTTCAATAGTGAAGAGAAACATCAATTTACACTTTCTGTTAACAGATGTTAAGATTTTCACATTTTTACTACATTTGATCAAAAGCTCGACTCAAGCTGCTACGTGATTAGCCATTTCACACCTCCAGTGCTGACCATGCTGAAGATCAGACCCTTCCTTAACTTTCATTTTGTCCCAATAAGTCTATATACTAACCTGCACAGCCTGTATTTCAGAATAAGCAGAACTCACTAGGGAATAAGGAATAAGAGCGTTGCTGGTGCACATCCTCCTCAAGTCCGTCTCCTTCCTAACTGGTTGGAAACCTCCCTCGCACTGGCTGCTGGGAATCTTCCGGTAGCTTGAAAAGGAGGGACAGATATATGTAAGGCGAGACAAAATTCAAAGAAAAGGACATCAGTTACAGCAGAACAACTCAAAATATTATTCCTGACAACAGTGGAGGGAGATTAACAAACACAAAAAAAGTGGGAAAAAGAATGGCCATTTAGAAAATCCTGTCTTGAAGCATGGACTCCAACAGTTCCTGAAGTGTCTGTTTGTAAATGGACCTGCTTTTGCACAAGAACTTTGTTACAATTCTGGAAGAACGAGGTCTGGATTTTTTTCCCAGCTGTCCTTTCTGACACATTAATAAAAAAACTTCAAAGTGCAAATGACACCTAGTGACGATATCTGAACACAGAAATGAAGAAAATTGCGTTTTCATTCAGTTTTCATGCTGCTTTAAGATATTAGATAGATAGATTGTCCTGTCTAAAAGAACACAACTTATAACTCAGAAAATAATTTAGTTAAATATGTGTTTTCAACAACTCAAATCATCAAATTTTTAGAATATTTTCTGCTTCTCCATCTAAGATTTGCAGGCCCATTGACCCACTTTCATGCCATTTTTCTAGCAGACTGAAATCATAGACAGTTGGCTATTCTAAAAACTGATGTTTAATGATGTTTTTATTACAACAAGTGTGTTGTACAGCTCTCTCCATGCCCTTTCATCTGATATATCACTTGATATGGTTTCCTGACATTTTTCTCACCAGTTAAGCTTTGACTTTTATTTTAATTTTAAATGTTAAATTATTTAAATTAAATAAGCTCAAGCTCTTATTTCTATCTAGGCTCACAAAAAACATGATATCTTGAAAAGTGGATGCTAGACTGCTCACAGACAGACAAACAAGCAGAACCAAGGGAGTATATAATCGAGAGTGTGTGTTTTTTGATTAGTAAATATGGTATATAATTATATTCCTCCCCATTGCTAAAATAAAACACAATACTTTTTAACGTTAAATTCATAATCACAGAAATGAAGAAAATGCTATTTTCTTTTAACTTTCATGCTGGATTGAGCAAAGATCACAAGCTGTACCACAAAAACAAAAATATCAGTACATAGCCTAACCCCCCCCAAAAATGATCTGATTGCCTTGGACATTGCATTTCACACATGCCAGGTGAGTCCAAGAAGAGTTCAGGGGTGTTGTGGATGTGTAAAAATGGTTTGTGCATCTCAGGCACAGGGATAGTATGTGTAATATGCAAAATGTGTATTATAATTATAATGCATAATGTATCTTGGTTAGTAAGAGGTTTTGTTTTTTTTGGGGGGGGGGGTTGGCAAAAATGTCAAATGTCCTCACCCACTGGTCTGCAGCTGTTCAGTGGTCCCATTTAAACAGAACTCCAAAGGACGGTCCTTCAACTCTTCCTGCTCCACACACTCTGAGCTGTTCTCTGGTCGGTAATACCCAAAATCACTGCAACACAAAGCTGTGTCATTTCTACACTAATGCACTGTTGAATGCAAAAAGCTGAAGATTCATTGAACTGTGAAATATGCAAATAAGATAAGATAGATCAAATTTAGACTATATGGACAAAAATATTGGGCCACACTTGTTTATCACTGTATTCCAGTATTTTATTCAGTCCCACTGGTGTAGAAAATCAAATACCTAGCCATGCAGTCTACATTTACACATTTGTGGAAGAGTGATCTCACTGTATTTGAGAGTGGTACCTTAATAGTCAGTTCATAAAATTTCTTCCCTTCTAGACATTCCACGATCACATGTAAGTGATATTAATGCAAAGTGGAAGCAATTAGGAACCACAGCAAGTCACAGGTACAGTTACAGACTGGATGTTGAGGTGTAAAAGTCACCAGTGTTCTACTGACTAAATAACTGCACAGGTCCAAACCTCTTCTGTCATTAACATCAGCACAAAAGCTGTGCGCTGGGAGCTTCATGGCAGCTGATCAGCAGCTACATGCAAGCTTTTCATCCCCAGGAGCAATCCAAAGCATTGGATGGAGCACGTTGTCACTGGACTCTGGATCAGTAGAAACATGTTCAGTGAAGATAAATCTAAATGCTTCAGCTTACCAAGATATTTTTGAAAATTCTCTCCTTACAGCTTTGTGGGAACAGTTATGGAAAACCCCCTTCTTTCCAGGATGACTGCGCGCCTGTGCACAAAGCAAGGTTCATAAAGACATGGCTGGATGAGTTTGGTGTGGAAGAATTTGACTGGTCCAGACAGAGCCCTGACCTCAAACCCATTGAACACCGCCTTTGGGTTGAACTAGAAAAGAGATTAAAAGCCAGGTCCTCTTTACCAACATCTGAGCTTATAAATGCCATTCTGGATGAATGGGCAAAAATTCCCACACACATTCCAAAAATTCTGTAGAAAGCCTTCCCAGAAGAGTGGAAGCTGTTATAGCTATAGTCCAACTTCATATTAATGCCTTTGGAATTAGAAATGGATGTCATAAAGGTTCCTGTGGGTTTGATGTGTACGTGTTTCAATACTTTTGTCCACATAGTGTATTTTGAACTAGTAGAGAGACGGAATAGCAGAATAAATAATGTGTTGAAGGAAAAAGTCATGCATAAAGAGCATTTCTACAAATATAATGTATACCCCACAGTCTTCTTATGTAAAAATCAAAATCCAGTTTCAAGAATACCATAATAAAGTCACAAGTTCATCTATTACACCAATCACTTGCACAAAAGGAGATGAAGTGAACAAGGAGATACCAGTGATAATCATCCAGTGTACATGGACAGGGGGACAGCCTCTTGGTGACTGCATAGTCCCTCCCGTTCCAGCAAACAGAGCCTTTCCTCAGGCGTAAGAAGGTCTCTTTATAGCCCAGCAAACAGCCATCATTAGAACCAGTGGTGTCTGAAGAGTGAGCCAACCACTGCACGTAGTCTCCTTCTGTGCCTGCAAAAGCAAACACGCACATTATCATAGTGAAAACACACTTGCTGTAATGCTGCACAAACATCGCCATCCTCTGTGCCTTACTCACAGTCTCTGGTGAGGAGCTTCCTGAAGTCTATAGTGATCACCACCCATTTACTGAAGTCCTTCCTGTAGCCCCACAGGCTGACGTTCATGGAGCGAGAGCCAGGCTCACTGTCCATGCCACTGAAGTGAAGTGGGTCATTGGTGAAGTTATATGTATGCCAGCACTGTCCTTCATCTGTGGAAAACCTGACGGGTGGTTTAAAAAAACATTAGCTGCAAAAGTGACGCACACAAACACTTACATATATGTCACAAAATGCTAGACAGTGTTTAACAGTTGTTCGCACTTTATCTGGCTGACAGGTAAGTTAGTGTGCTCCACAGCCACCAGCAGGCCTCCTGAGTCCAGTATAGCATAATGATGGGGTCCCTTGAGGGCCAACATCCATGAGTAGCCCCCATCATCAGACACATACACATCAGGGAAAAGAACTGACTCTGCATCTTCAACACTGCCTGGAGAAAAGGGAGGGAGACTATCAAGAAACATTCAGTAAAACTGATTGCACTGAAAGAATTTGGTGGCTTGGTGTGTCTTACCGTGGGCCAGAATGAGGCCCACTGCACTGGGCTGTGAGAGAGGAAGCATGGGGACGTTCATCTTCATGGTGGTGCTGTAGGAGGCGTGGATGTGTAGCCTGCACTGTAAAGACACAGTGATGAAAACAATGTTTACACACTGGCTCGTACTGAGAAATTAAATCCGTTTGAAAGAGTTCATTTTGGGGCGTTACAAGAGGTCACATGCGACCACATCCTAATAAAAATATACTCCAATACTTGTGTCTGTGTGTCTCACTCTGTTAGGTCTGTTGGTAGAGGTGTCAGTGTTACAGTGGCTGTTCTCTGGTCTGCGCAGCCTCTGCCACTTTGCTCCTTGGTCATAGGTGATTACAGTCTCCACTGTGCCATCTGCAAAACAAACATGACGGATTCAAAATTCACTTAAATTCCTAGCAGAAGATAATTTTCACATTTTCTACATTTAACTAGTGTGTTAACTGACCGTCTGCGAGCACACTGGTCATGTAGACGCCCCTGAGTGAATGGATGACAGTGAAGTCAGTGTCACTTCCTGTGGTTGTGTAGAGGTGGCGCTCCAGAGACTTGGAGAACACAGTTCCTCTGTCATCTGACACATAGATGGTTCCAACACCAGAGTCTGCCCCGCACAGAACACACGTCTGGATTATACACTTGGATATGTTAACTGATAGCAGAAGAGAAATCATCATCAGCACCAGTTCTTACCACCGGGGTCATCCACGTGCATGAAGATCACGTCCTGATTGGCTGCCAGGATGGAATAAAACTGCTCGTGGGTGACTGTAGGAAGCTGAGCCATGTTCCACGTCTCGCCGCCATCTACTGAGACGTGGATCATACGCTCTGTACTCTGTCACACACACATTCACAGACACAATTACTGCACAGAAGGTGTATTTATGCTACTTTTAGTGGGAATCATTACACCAAAATCCAGGCACCTGTATGACACTGTTGGTTATACAGTATATGCTCATCGCCTACACCCCGTATTATTAAAGACACCCAGTCTGTCTCTTTTATTTGCCTTTACACCAGACATTAAAACATTAAATTCTACATGAAATATGTGAGTTCAAGGAGTGTGAGTAAATTCCTCTGCATGCATGGCTTATACTGTATTCCCAGTCAAGCAAAGCATCGTTGGAAATATGTTTATAAAACTGTGCTTTTATCTTGAAAGCTAAGCCAGGAGGAAGATGTAGACGGCCTTTCAACTTTGTGTGAGCAGATCATCATCTTATGAATGTGGGCCAGGCCAACTCCAGATACAGTCACACTAAACAAACTGCATTCCAGTCACAATCCAAGCATTTACACTACAAGCATGCGATTTTGAGTAGAGACAAGCTATAAATAATATTTATAAGACAACTAATAATAATATATAGCAAGTAAAATCAAATATTTTAATATCCATGCAGGAAAAAGATCGTTTTAAAAGACAATAAAGTCATAATGTAAAGTGCATTATAAATAAAGATGCTATGCTATGCTATAAAATTAAAGCGCAGATGACTCTTTGCCAGACAGATGTATTGTATAACAAATAGTTATTGCATGAGGTATGAAAGATTTCCTGTATCTGTGTTTAGTTACCCAGATAGGATATCCAGATACAGACTGAACATTAATGCCAGATGTCACAAACTATTTGAACGCTTTAAGTGAGAAGATGCATTTTTGTTTTGCAAACTGAGTAAAGAAAGCATAGAAAGAAGAAGAAGAAAATGGGTGTACAAATAAACAACTACACCCAATGCCACTAAATACACAGACTGCAAAAATGCAATGTCTGTTCACAAAACAAACACACTCTGCTCTTAAAGAATAAAGGTACAAAGGCGCGCGCACACACACAGACGTACCGTGCCAGTCATGATGGAGGCGAAAACAAATCTTCCTCCAAGTACAAATGAGTAAACTCTCGTTGCAATGGTGTGGAAACTTTTACCGTAGTCGAATGTCTTTCGTAGATGTAACATGCCTTTGTCATCTGACAGAAAAAAAAAGGTGAAGTTAGTGAAGTTAGTTATCACTGAACGTGTTAATATAGCGCTTTACCCGCATAAAGTGGGGATACATATCTCTGCTGCTTTAATAAGTCTGTTAAAGGAATGGATTGAGTTGCACATAGATGGAATTTCTTGATTGGAAATAAATCATGAAATAAATACTGAAATACGAGAAACTTTTTATACTGTGTGGATCTATTCGTGTGTAAGAATCCATTTGGTTTAGACTGCCAAGTTGAAAGTAACTCATGACTGTCAACAACAAGGCACAACTTTTAAGGAACGATAAACCTGGGTCCGCGTTCGGATACGACACATTCAGGTGGTGTGGATTCATAAAAGGAGTGCATGTCTGAAAGGGCTTCTGTGGAGGGATGGTGTTATCTTCACTTACTGCATGATCCGTTGTTGTTTGTGGTAAAGTAGATGCTATTCTTTGGACCCCTGTGTGTGAGAAAAACAAACCATAATCGGGTAGAATCAGACGGCGGAGGGAAAGATCTAATTGCGCTAACATTGTTTAACATCTGTAAATCAAACGTAGATCCACTTTTGGAATTTATATAAATTGCAGATTATGGTTATGGTTTTAAAGTGCTGGTGTGAGCAAGGCAGACATCAACCCTGGTTACCTTGGTTACCCCCCCACACACACACACACACACACACAGACACCCCCCACAAGTTCTGTCGGGTTTTGTTCGCTGCCAAACAAGATGAAGGTTTTCACACTGCACAGATTCTGGTTCAAGGACTGCGGGCTGAATAAGAATGCCACTGCTGACTCATGATTCAGTCTGACAGCAACCTCAGCTCCCTGGCTCTGCAGTCAATTTGGGTTGAGGCCTAAATGACAGCTGTGGTCGCACAGAGCTATCACAATCTTCCCACAATGCAGCGCTAACAACCGCAGGCTGACACCGCAACCTCATGTGAACTCTGGTGTTCAAATAAAACCAGAGTCAGGATGGGGGATACAGACTGTGGTGAGGAAAGCAGCTGGAAAAACAACAATGGACAAAGAACACACACACTCCTATTTTTACCAAAAGCAAAGACGTACATGTTGACTGTTTGTAAACCCACACGGACAAATGTGCCTGTCAGTGATGGAAACTTGTGTTTTATGAGAAACATTTATTTTATGTGTAAGCACCAGTGGCCTTTAACCTGGGCCCGAAATTCACTCTTGGCTCAGAAACAGAGAGCAGGAATCCTGTCTAAAGGAAGCGCACACTGCTTTGTGTTTATATGTCACTTTCATTAAAGTTGAGGGAAAGTCTCTAAGACAAAAAAAGGCCAAAGGTAAGGTTCACACCCCTCACCTGTCCTGATTGTCTCCCCTGTTCTTAATTATACTTTAACATCAATCTGATGGGGAGGTCAGTTCTTACCATCTGACCAAACACACACTGTCGTGGATCTTCCTCCAGGTGGCACCAAAGTCCTCAGACAACCACAGGTCCATCTTAAAAGAAAAAAGCTTTGTCAGTAAAAAGGGAGTACATGTTTATTTTTAGTATTTACCCATTCCTATTTGAGAAATTAGGAAATGGTTCACTTCAGGAGAAGAGAGGTTTTCTTTTATTGAAACTCCAAATCCCTGACTATATACCATGATACTGAGTGTCAGAAGTTTGTTGCAGTCCCCGGGGTTGTACAGGATCTGAATGAGGGGCTCAAATGGCAGGTCGGTGGAAACAAAGGTCAGTCCAAAGTCCTGCGAGCGAAACAGCCGAAAACCCCCGACGTCGGACACATCACCGCTCAGGATCACCTGATGCCAAACAAAAGAGCCAGAGTTAAATCAATCGGTCACGTAGCTGATGAGAGAGAAAACACATTTAAATCAAACCAAAACACTGAACATTATTCATGTGGGGATTCGTTGCTTTTCTTCATTTTATGTCAGTGGATTATCAGATCAAATAAACATTTTGGAGATGCCACCTGTGAATCAGAGGATTACAACTGACATTTATTTACTGTTTTCTTTAGATGTAAACAGCAGAAGAACTGAGGAAATTGTGCTGTTTTACTGAAAACACAAGTAGATGAGAAATGATCCACAACTGCAAAAACCTTTGAGGATACTTCATCGTATTGCACTGCATGTACTGACTCTTTTAAAGAATCACTCACCTTCCCTGAGTGGTCTGGACTGATAGCGATGCCGAACTCTGTCTGGATGAAGGTGTGGTTAATCAGATGAGTCACGTCTTTGAACGTCTTCCCATAGTCTTCACTGACACACAGACAAGGTTGCAGTTAGACCCTCAGACCACTGTAATTAGTAAAAGTTTAATAAAGCCACTAAACCAAACCAGCAGCGAGGCACTTCTCACCTCCTGTAGAGGTTAGACTGGCCGAAGCGGATCATGAACAAAGGCACCTGAAAGGTTGTCAACACCAGCAGCACCTGGGGTGAGAGATGAATGGAGTTACACAGAAATCAAGCATCATCTTGGAGTTATATATTGTCATACACATGAACTCACCCCTGATCCATCGCCCACCCAGGCTAAAGACAGTGAACCCAATGTCTGCACCTTGAACGTGAACTGAAAGGGAGGGAAAAAAAGAAGACATTTTAGTGAAAATACAGAAAACACTGCTGTTTACTAAAAACTAGACACGTGAACGGAGAGGACAGCTTGAATTTTCCATACTGTCCAAAGCAGCTCGGTCATTTGGATGCACTCTGCCTGTGTGACCTACATTCCTGTGTAAATCACAAAGACGAAGCCAGAGAACAACACACTTTGCTAATGTCTCGAACGCAGCAAGAACACTCTCTCAAACACATGACAGACATTAAGGCTGAATGTAGCCAATTTTTCCGGTGTTTACCTTAACAGTCACTTACTAATACATTCCTCAAGCCCCGAAAGACTCAAAGTTCAAAATAAAAGGAACAGGTGTGACATAATATTAGAGGCACGGAGGGAGCAGAACTACTATTTCCCAACTCTGACAGAAAAACAACATTCCTCTTCATTCATCCCGACTGAAGCTCAAGTGTTTGGTCTCTAGCCACAGCCCACAATGTTTGGAGTCTGAGGGAGCAGGTTACTCCCCTCCTCTCTTTAGCTGGAGGGACAAAGATGTTTTCAAGGTGAGTACAGCCCAAAAGCGTCTGTGTCCATAAAGCCACAGAAGATGGTCACGCCTGCCGTATGCCTCCTGCATCCATCTGTTCCTATTTTGATCGTATAACTATTTTACAACCCCGTTTGCAATCCTCTTTTCATCCTATTGGTCAGTTTTTTTAAAAAGTCATATGTGCTGTCCTCCCCAAAACTCACTCTCTAGCTTGAACATACAGGTTAAATGTCAAGACTTTAAAGATTTTTATGAGATATAAGAAAGCAAAACTATTAGCATATGCTCCACTAGACATGTTTTAATGAGACTACACAGCTACAAGTATTAGCATTCTAAGTATATCGTTAGTTTTTTTAATCACCTTAACACAATTTATGATACTATTAGATAATGTGAATAAGGATTAAATAAGCAGATATGAATATAAATATGTACATATAGAGTATACACACATACTTAAATTTTCCCAGACAACCAAGGCAAAGTTTTCAGAGGACTCTATGAAAAGTACTCCTCCCACTTCCCAGTCTTCGTTATAGTGTTGCTTCAGTTTATTGAGGTTTGAACTGATGCACAGCTCTCTTAAGGACTTTGACTGGACCATTGCAACACCTTGATTCTTTTCTTTTTCAGCCATTTGGTTGTACATTCGCCCCTGTGCCTTGGATAATTGTCCTGTTGCATGACCCAGTTTCGGCCAAGCTGTTGGACAGATGGCCTCACGTTTCACTCTAGAATACTCTGGTATAAAGAGTAGTTCATGGATCATAACATGGAGAGTCTAAATTTACTTGGAAGTCCACTCTTGTGAAGACTGTGGGGTTGCTTTAATACACCCTTGCATGCTCCAGACCAACAAGCTGCAAAAACTTGTGTTTTTATCGAAGTGTTCACACTTGCTGATGATCATCTAATCAAGGGCATTGGATTAGCAGCAGCTGGCTACTGCTACTGCTAACCTCTTAATTCCTGTGGAAGCAGTAAGGTTGGACTTATCACTGCACTGAGTCATGTTAAAAACTACTGAAGAGGCTACAGGAGCTTATAGCAAAGTAATGCTTTGAGATAAATGCTTGTGAACATGCTAAAAATGCCAGCAATGCCACTAATAACAAGCAGAGTTTTCAAACCATGCAAATTCAAGAAGAGCTGAGGCTGATGGGAATGTCATTAGCTGTGCTGGTATCTTGCTCAAAATCAACCTAATTGTAGAAACTGAAATGCGGGATGACTACCAATGCTAAAATCAACAAAGTTAATATAATTCATCCTGAGGAGGACATAAATGACTGTACAATCACAGCAGAGCATGAGAATACAAGGTAAGCAGAGGAGTCATATCATAAAATGTAAAATATTATGATCATTTCAAACTAAACAATATGAAATTTAAGTCATGTCTTGTCCTAATACTAAGTCTTTGCAAATGTTTCTGCCAGTTGCTATCACACCTGTGTTAAATTTAAACCAGTGGGACACTTTCCACATCGGTTTCTCTGAAACTCTATATGGACTAAAGCTGACTTGCCCAGCTGCAGGACACACACCTAAACGATCAAACATTGCATTTATATCATAGGTTGTCTTTTTTTGTTTTTTACCTAGTATTTAACCAGGAAGTGAAAACTCCTCAGATTTATAATCTCCTCTATAAGATTATCACGGGCCAAGATAGACATCTAAATGTAGGAATTAACATCATGTATGTAAAAATGAAGATATGCCTGAACCAGTTGAACATGGCCTCACATACCAGACATGACCTCATGCTGTGTCTCATGTTGGATTTAAGGGTCCAGAGCTGCTCTGTAAAGGCTTCTCTAACCTCCCGAATCTGGCATTTAGTTCAGTCATAAACAACAAAACTTCTGGAGTGTGCATCACAAATAGACACATACAAACATCTATACAAGCAGACTCAATAACACACAGTCTGTGGGTGGGAGCACAGTAAAGTCCTCTCACAGAAAAGGCAACACAATGAGCTCCTTATTCTCTCTGCTTCAGCAATGTTTACACGCATAAAACTTCAGAAGGAGGTCAAATGCTGAGGCTCTGATCTCACACATGAAGCAGCGTTGCAAGCCTCTGCTGTTCGACTACGATTTGAGTTCCAAGCTGTTTGCTAGATTATTATTCTCCAGGAATACCAGAAAAGAAGAAAAAATTAATGCTAATTAATTTTTAACTAATACATTTACAAAGTGATTAAAAAAAATCATGATTATTGCCCATTTTAAGTCTATGAGCGAAATTTTAATCTCTCAAATAATTAGCTGCTTGGGCAGCACATCAAAATCTTTTTGTTTGGTCTTTTTCATGTTTTTCTTTCCAGGCTAGCAGCATGGCTCGTCAGATGGCAATGCCAATCTGTCATCTGTTGGCTCCAACACTAAATGTTAGCATGCTAAAAAAAAAATGGAAGACCTATCATATCATATTTGATACTTGAGTTTTTGAGACTTCTGCATCACCAGTCTTTGTTTTCCTCACCAAAAAACCTAAACTGCAGAATTTAAAAAAAAAAAAAAAATGCTGGATGTGGCAAATAAAATGCAAACTGAAGTTCATATAGTCAAATTAATGGGGGGTTTTTTCTGTCAAAAGCTTCAAAGAGTCTTTTGTTTTTTCAAAAGAAATTACAATTTTCTGGCAATTATTTCAGCATTTGGGCTTTAAATGGATACGGCAGCCTGATCTATGAAATAGATAGCAGTGGACTAGACTGTTAGATCTTCTGATAATTTATGTATCCATAATAAACTGAATAATGAAAAACTAATCAACTGCCCAAATCCAGCTAAACCTTCACATTTTTGCTGGTAGAAACAAAGGAAGTAAAAACTATAAGATATTGACATATCTGTCTTTAAATAAGGGCTTACTGTATATAGTATATACATAAAGTAGCATCAGTTTCATTGTTACATTAACAACGTAGTTCACTGAATAACGGATTAATGTGAAGACACAGCTGGACTCTGCCACATGTGCTGCAGGCTGTGCAGAGAGGATGGTAAACATGGGAATCAAGCATCTTTGCCTGCACCACCCTCTGTAAGGAAAGTTTTCATATCAATACATATCTGCTATGTTAAATACATATTCAGCATGTTTGATTGATGCTATTAGATGCAGCAGGCTAATTTTTCCACTGAAGTAGTGCAAGTTGATCATGGGTTCTACCAGTGCCTCCTCCATTTATACTTTGTCGTTCTTGTATGTTCCCTGTGTATCAACAAGGCCAGATTTCTTTCTGACACACACCGTGTGGTACACCAGTTCTGCTGCTTTCCTTGGTGCTCCAGCAGCTGGCTGCACCCCAGCTACCCTGAGGACAGAGCACTTTTTTCCTGTTTGTTTTGTTCTTTTTGGCCTGAGGGAACGGGAGACAGGATAGAGTCTGAAGAAGGGGGGGGGGGGAAAAGAAAAGAAAAACAAAACAAGCTAGTTTGTTAACCTGAGTCAGCTAAATGAACCTCGCACAAACGGGGAAAACACGTTAAGGCTTGGGCTGGCTGACAGAACACATCCTGTGTAGTCTACCAGGTCTACAAAAACCACAAAAAGGAGCACAGAGAGAAGGAGGTCAGCTGTGTCTGATCTGATAATTTACACAGCCATCTGGAAAATAAGGAGCGCATAATACAGATCTAAATCCTTTTTCCCCTCCTGATCTAGCATGCAGCTCTGATAACTCAGACATCAGCCCACAGTGGAGATCAGATGAAGTTTAGCAGAAGAACGTGGGGAATGTTTGTCAGGGAGAAAGGCCCGGAGGAGAAGGGAGGAGCCTGCTCTCTGAAAACACACTGAATTATTTTCACGGTCGATAGAAGACCAGGTGTTTCATTCAGTGAAATGATGTAACACCACCTATTACCTTCACACACACCAAAGTGGTGTATCCATGATTTCAGAGGACAATACACTGGTTTACAATCTACCCCTAACTTTAAAACATGTGGCTGACATTATGGATGTGTTTTTGTCCCCATAAGGAAGATAAGTCCCCGCAATGTATAAAGAGATTCAAGACCCCCACAGCATTAGTAATACATGCACAACTAAGACACACACACACAACATGAAAATGATCCTGTGGAGCTTTGTTGTAACTTCTTATGAGTTTGTTGTTATTGTGCTTCTGGTGGATGCTCAGTTGTTGTTTGTCTGAGAATAAAAAAAAAGAAAAAAACTGTACTTCATGCCTACCACCATTCCACTATCTCATGGCGATTCCAAAGAGGTAGTAAAGGTATGCTATCAGCCGGCTCTTCCAAGATCCCTCCAGACACGAGGAACACAGTCAAATGCGTATGACTGTATGCTGTTACATTCTCCATTCACCCAGCACCATTAGTCCATCAGAGCATGAAAACACAGAGTCAGCAAGCACCACACATGTGGAGCGCTGACCTACATTAATCCAGATCAATTAAAAAAGGTTGCAACAGAAAGAACTAGAAAAATAGGAGAACTGGCTGAAACTGGCAGATTACTTAACTAAACCACTTTCACCTTCTCCACGTTTTCTTTGTTTGTTTATTGACTGGTTACAAATAAATATCATACACAATATCAAATATTTTGATATTCAGTAAGTCTTTGGAATCTTTTTCAGGACTGATTGTCCCCTGTGCCAGTAAAAAGTACATCTTAAAGTTTTATACAGGTGCTCGAAGCAAACAAACTGGAGATCCCTGTAAAAACATTTATAAATCAAATAATAATTGATTAAACAATATCAGATTTACTAATAACAGAAAAATTTAATAGTCCTCTATTTTTATTTGTTTTTCTATTAAATAAATCTTTGACATAATCGTATTAGTCTTTTTTTTTCTTTTTATCCCAAACTGTCCTGAACTCACATACTCAACATTAATTAATGAGCATTTAAGTTAGTTAAACGTATTGAGTTACTTTTATTTGATTGAATGACTATCAAAATTTCTTTCCATCGGTTGATCGACTAATCTACAAACCCCTTCAGTAATTAGAAGCAGTTTAATATGCAGGATTCACATCTTTCCTTGTGTGCATCTGTTAGGAAAATGTTTGGAAATGTTACGAGCAACTCCACCATGTGAGGAATAAGCTCACGTGTAATCCTGTCACTGTGGGTGTGAAGTCACTTACAGTGCTGGTGTCGTTCAGCAGGGCTGACTCTACTCCGGGCAAAGCTGTACATGTCTGTTCATTCAGTCCTGCGCTGCGCTTCGGCAGCTCCTTCCTCTCTGGAATAAGTCGCTCCTCATCACCACCCAACTCCCCCTGCAGCCTCCTCAAATGTGAAAACTTTCCCCCTTCGTACTGATGTTTGCCCAGCGCAGACGAAAACAGCCCGAGCGCCAAAATGCAAGATGCGGAGATCATTATGAACCCAGCGGTGTCCAACTCGAGACTCCTGCGAGAAACTTCACTGTCCCACCACCAGTTGGCCGCACATGCCCCCCTCATCACCCAAAGCATCTTCCACAGCGGCCCATCCACCGCGGCACCGGATTGGTCGGGACCAGAATAACCTGTGATATAATTGGACGGCGTCGATCTTTCTCGACTGAGTGTCACACCTTTTCTGGGGTTGAACTGCCCCCTGGTGGAAGGACCGCGCAAAACTTACTAGCGCTTTTGAGTGTTGTTGAATTATTTTCTCTGAATTTGTTTGGGATTCCAAGAAGCAAATAGAAAAGTAGAACAAATAATCTACAGCACGGCTTCCTTCTCTCTCCCTCTTTTTTTTTTGCACAGCAGCGGTAGTTTCACTTTTTATTGTGAAACAGCTAGTGAAGGTTCTTACATACAGATCCCTCAAAATAAAACTTACGTTTTTTAATACAAAAAATATACTTTAAATTTGTTTGGTTTCTTTTTTGTATTAGTTGACAAAAAAAATGCATCAACAGTTGAGGAATTACAGCCATTTTATACTTAGACCCTGTTTCTGAGGTTTAAAATTAATTAGCCAAACTAAGATAATTACAATATACAAGGATTGTTTTCAGTGTTTTGAATGAAATCTTTTGCAGTCAGTGACTGTGTAAAGCACAGGTGTCGAACTCCAGGCCTCGAGGGCCAGTGTCCGGCAGGTGTTAGATGTGTCCTTGATCCAACACAGCTGATTTAAATGTCTAAATGACCTCCTCAACATGTCTTGAAGTTCTCCAGAGGCCTGGTAATGAACTAATCATTTGATTCAAGTGTGTTGACCCAGGGTGAGATCTAAAACCTGCAGGACACTGGCCCTCAAGGCCTGGAGTTCGACACCTGTGGTGTAAAGTCTTGAAACCATGGACATCATGTATCATGTATCTTCCTGGTCGAGATGCTCTGCAGGCTTTTACATCAGCCACCTTTCTTTCGCATTATTCTTCGATTCAGTTGTGAAGCACCGTCCAATCAGTTTTTCAACATTTGGAGTATAAGCAGAGTATATAGGCCTGTATACTTGAGAATCCTGCTGCTTCCATCAGCAGCCACACATACCCAAGCCATAATACTGCCTCCACCATGTTTGTCAGATAATGTAGTATGCCTCAAATAATGACCCGTTTCTGTCCTCCATACTTTTCTCTTTCCATTATTCTGGTAAAGTCATCTGTCCAAAGAATTTTTTCCAGAACTGTGCAGGCTCTTTCTAGAAAAGTCTTTTCCAGCCTTCCTGTTTTTATAATCAGCATTTTGAATCTTGTTGTAAACTCCTTCTCCAATCATAAAGACATGATTGCAGATCTTGACAGTGATGCACCTGTCCTTGACTCGTAAAGTTATTTTTCTTAAACAATGGAAATAATTCTATAATTATCCACTTTAGCTGTCTCCTGTGGTCTTTCAATCCTTCTGTTCCTGCTGAACTGATCAGTGGATTCCTTCTTCTAAATAATGAAACAGATTGCCAATTTGGCTGCTCCGAAGGTTTTTTGCTCTCTCTGATCAGTTTATTTTAGATTTTCAGCCTAGTCATGGAATCCCTCACTTATATTAGTGAAAAGTTATGAAACACAAATTCAATACTTTGAATAAATTTAAGACATTACATCTGCATTACTTCTCATCAAATAAGGGAGCAGGCCTAAGCTGGTCATGAAAGCACTTGCCAATTGTTTAGTTAATTCTGAGCCTCTGAAAATGGGAGACTGTGTATATAAACAGGCCTTTTTGACAAAGGATGACGCCTCAATTTAGTTTTTGCTAACATGTGTATGGTATCATGAGCACAAAACTAAACCAGTTACGCTGCGTTTGCAATACGGTTTACTAATACTAATTAGATATTATTGAAATACCATAGTTGAAAGACAAGAAAAACAAAAACTGCAAAGAGTCGGCAACTTTCTGAATACAACAGTTTAATTGTACTGATTCGTAACAAAAATACCCCTCCCACTCCTCCCCCACATTTTTCCCCCTTGCCACTCAGTTATAAGTCCCGGTCAGACTCCTGTACAGACACGTACAGATACTGAGAGATGTAAAGAAAAATTATTGGATCGTATATAGAAACTGCTTCTGCACTGCAATTTTGAATGCAGCAAATAATGAGAATGTACGGATAGAAAGTTGTGGCTGCTTTGTGACATTCGGCCCAGGTGCGCCTTCACACCCTCTTCCCTCGTGCCCAGAACTGAAACCGAGACCAAGTCTTTCCTGCTCTAGATGTCCTTGATTACCTCCTCCAGCTCCTCTTTGGAATACATGTGGAAGGTCTTACCAGGCTCTACTGTTGCCAGCTGTAGAGGAGACAGATTAAGAAAGTATGTGTGAAAAACAACCATTTAGACACCAGCAGGTCTTTGCAACTTAAGTCCAAATAACACAGCTGATTTGGTTGGAAATGGACAGATACAACCTTCTGGCATCAAGTATCAGAGTGGGACAAACCTCAATGTTGGTGGCGTTGAGCTTCTCCTCCATCACCTGCTTCAGAATGGTGAGAGATGACTTGATGGCTTCTTTTAATGTCATGGACTGTCAGATTTCCAGAGACAGGGAAAGACAAAAAGACAAAACTATTCAAATCTGTGTGTTAGGGCTGGGCGATATGACCCAAAATTCATATCTCGATATTTTTTAGCTGGATGGCGATATAAGATATATATCTCGATATATTTTTTTTAAAGCCATAA